AAACCTACACTTGGACCAGGAAGCAATCATCAGAAACAGAGCAAGGAAACACTGTATGGTTCAAAATTAGGAAAGGAGCCTGTCAGGGATTCATCCTCTCTCCATACTTTTTAGTTTATATGTGGAACAGATCATTCTGGAGGCTGGGCTTTGTAAGGAGGAATGTGACATCAGGATTGGAGAAAGACTCATCAACAACCTGAGCTATGCAGTTGACACAGCCTTGTTTGCTGAAACTTAGGAGGGCTTGAAGCATTTGCTGCAGATGGGCAAGGACAGTAGATTTCAATACTATTTGTAGCTCACCATTAAGAAGACAAAGATTTTCAGGAGTGGATCAATTGGCAGCAGCATGTTAGATGGAGAAAGAAGATCTAAAGCTGTTAACAATCAACACTCTTGGTACCACCAGTCAAGAAATCAAAAGACAAATTGCACTGGGAAGTCTGTTATCAAGGATTTCTTGCAACAATGTTAGTATGGAGACTAAGGTACACCTGAACCATGGTCTTCACAGTTACTTGCTATGAATCTGAGAGAAGGACTGTGACCAAATATGACAGAAGAAGAATTGATGCCTTTGAGTTGTACTGATGGAGAAGAATATTGAACGTACCATGAGCATACTTTGGGCAGAGACCAGTTGCTGGAGAAGGACATCATGCTTGGAAGGGTAGAGGAACAGCACAGGAGAGAAAAACCCTGGATGAGGTGGATTGACAGAGTAACTGGGGTGGGTATGTTGGAGATAGCGAAATTGGCTCAGGATAGAGCAGAGTTCAGAGCTAGTGCGTATAAGGTCTCTATGAAAAGCAGATGACTTGATAGCACATAACAACAAAAATGTAATCTGTTCTATGAATTCTAAGTCTGGGTAATATTTTTATTTTAAGTATTCATTTTTATGCTTGTATTTCATGGCTTTGTCAATGCTTTCTCCACTGTCCAATTTACCCAAATCGCTGCATACTAAATCTAGCATAATTGCTTTCCAATTTTCTTCTGAAAGCCTAAACACTGCATTTGTCTTTGTTTTCTGTGCTTCTGTAATACGAATACCCCAAGTGGATATCATTAAAGAACAGATATTTAATTTCACACAGTTGAAAAAATAAACTCAGATTCAAGCTGTGGTTCTGAGGAGAGAGGCTGGGGGAGGGGGATTCCTTCTTTATCTCATTCAGCTTCTAGTAGCTGTAATCCTTGGTAATCCTTGAATTTCTCTTGTTTTTAGATTCATCTGTCTCAGTGTAATCAAATATTATCTGTCTACTCCCTGTTCTATATATTAATCTTTGATGTATCCTCTTTTGTATCTAACCTATTTCTTTTTAAAACTCAGTAGTAATCAATTTTAATTCACATATTACACTGTTATGATTCATTAACATAAAGAATGCACTGTGCTCAAATGAGATTGTATTCAAATATAAATATAAATGTAAATATAAATATAAATATAAATTATAAATATAAAGACTGTATTCAACTCTTAACAGTCTTGGTAGAATGTTACTGCCCTTTAGATTCTTATTTACTTATTTGCAATGCATAATGAAATTCTTTTGAGAGTAGAATTTTTAAATTCTTATTTCTGCATCATAACACCTACTTGATAGGTATGGGATTCTCAAAACTGTGAATGTATAGATTCTAGTTTCATTGTCACAAAGACAAATTAATTTCTACAGTTCAGGTTAAATTCCTGTTACCACCAGAAATCGAAGTGCCATCTCTATCTTTTCTGCTCTCTGGTATTTTGACAACCTCTTTCTTCCAATTAAGCTGAATAATGATTCAGTCCTCATGATCTAAGACAGGCCCTATTCTTCTAGTCATTGCGTATGGAAATTCTGTACTATGGACTGATGGACAATACTGATATTTTTGTACAAAATAAGTGACAGACTCACTGCAATCAGTTGGGTCAAGATCTGGCTGTTTGTGAACTTAAGAGGTTTTATATTTATAGTTGACACCTTAGAGAATATAACGCAACAGTTTATAACCTCAGTATCTGGAAACTTTATGAACTTTGATAAATGCTGATAACTGTAGAGGGGCTTCGGGCCTTTTGTTCATAGGGTCTTTATGAGTTGTGCTCAACTCGAAGGCAGCCAACAACAGCAACAATCCTCTACGGCCCCACACTTTGAGACCAAGGCAATTCTACCTCCTGTGCTTATTTCAATGGTTCTGCTGGTCTCTGAGCTACTCTAAGGTTGATTTTTATTCCCCCCCCCCCCCTTTGGCCCGTTTCTTGCCTTTAGAGTTCTAAAAGGCAGGTGACTTTTTCTTTTTCCTTTCTTTACCTGTCCCATTCAGACTAAGATGGTGACTTGTCTGCAACAGTAATTGGTTTAATTACAAGCTTTGAATGTGTGTCTTTAGTTTGTACAGTAAAATTTTTCTAGTCTTTATATTTTCTTTTTATTACTTAACAGTTCATTTCTAAGTACATCTCTTTCTTCTTATAAAGTGGATACCTTCTGAGCCCTTTTAGATCCTGCATGAAAATCTCTTTAACAAAATGCCCAAATTTGTTGCTTACAAGTTATCACCTCAAATATTTCAACATAATTCAGACTATTTGCCATCACATTAAAAACAATGCTCTTCTTACTTTGTACAATAATAGATTCATCTTTTTATTTTAAGCCTCACAAGGAGTGTATTTTAAGTCTACATTTCTAACAGCAGAGTTTCATATTCTTTATAATGATACATACTCTCTTTCTTATACCTCTCCTCACTTCCTTCTGATTCTTTTTCAACATTATCTTTGAAATCCTACCAAGATTTTTTTCAAGGCATTCAAGGCTTTTACTATTTAAAAATGCCAAACTTCTGCCAAATCAAATCTGACTCATATCCATACTTCTTTGGTTTTCCAAAGCTTTCAATCTTTATAGGAAGAAGGTGCCCATTTTTCTCCCTGATGGATTTAAACTTCTGATCTTTTGGTTAGCAGCCTGCTACATTACACACTTCAAACCATGATTGTTGTTATGCATTATGGAGTCAGAACTGACTCATAGCTGACACTGCAGCAGGTTTTAAGGGTCAATAAAAACAGAGGCTATTGTGCATCTTTCCACCATGAAGCAGCTGGTAGATTAAAACCTTGTACTGTCATGTTGGTAGCACAATTTCTTACAACTAAGCCAAAAAACCTTCTGGATACTCTGCCAATAAGCCACAGTATGATAGAGAAAAGATTGAAATTATCAATTACTTCATCTTAATTGAGCACAATCAATACAGTTGGTACCAGTAGTCAGAAGATCAGGAGAAGTATTGCACTGGTAAAGTCTGCAGTCAAGGACATTTCTAAATTAATGAGGAGTAGTGATGTTCGTTTGAGAACTACAGTGTGCCTGAATTAAGACATGATCTTTTCAGTCGTTTGCTGTGCATCTGAGAATAGGTCAACGTAGAAGGATGATAGAAGAACTTATGCCTTTGAGTTGTGGTGTTAGAGAAATGTATTGAATACTCCTGGAATGCCAAAAGAACAAACAGACATGTCTAGGGAAAGGTACAAGACTGCTCCTTGGAGGCAAACATGATAAAGCTTCAGCTCACACATACTTTGGGCATGTTGCTAGGAAAGTCTATTCCTTGGAAAGGGAAATCATGCTTGGGAAGGTGGAGGGATGGCAAAGGACTGAAAAACCATCAACCACGTATCAAAGAGTGTGAGAATCAATGAATGAATGGAAATCCAAAGTCTCTGTAAACGTTCATTAAAAGTTAAAAATTAAATAAATAAATACAATTTTTTTAAAAATGTGAGGATGATGCAGGATAGGTTTGCTATGAGTTGTACTCTACTTGAGGCACCTACCAACAACACAGATTTTAAAGCCCTTTAGCCACCAGAGCACACTAAAACCTTTCTGTCGTTGTTACTATGTACTGTAGAGATGGAACCAAACCATAGTTGATCCTCCAGTGGTTTCAGAGACAGATAATGACATGGGAGGAGCTTGCCCATCCTACTACCTTGGAGCAGCTGGTGGTCGCTAGCCTCAGGATCGCAGCACAGCTTCTTGCCACTAGACCACCTGAGCTCCCTAAAACCTTAACAATAGCTCTCAATTACTCAATTCCAAAACCATTTCCAGAACTTAAATATGTGATATCCTAGAATGATACACTACTGGTGACAAGTTTACTATTCATATAATAGAAATACTCCAAATGATTGGTTTTTAACCAATAGAAATTAACTTTGCCATAGTTTAGAAGACTAAAAGTTTACATGCAGAGTTCCATTCCTAGAGAAAGTCTCTGTCTCTTTGTTCACTTGGAAGAGATGTCCTTGTCTCTTTGAAAATCTGTTTCTGAGTGCTCTTTATATAGCTTGATATTTCTATTCCCACATCTCTGTTTATTTTGCTTGATTGTACTCCTACAGTGGGAGGCCTCATGAAGTAGCCTGTAGAGTGCTGTGAGGCTACCCTATAGGCAGGGTTCTCTGGTAATTCAAACCCACCAGCAGCTCCTTGGAAGAAGGATAGGCAATCTCCTCCTGGTGATCTATAGCCTTGGAAATCTTCTAGAAGATTATCTATGAGTTGAACCTGGCTGGCTGGCCATGAGAGAGAATTCAATCCTTCTTATATCCCAAAAGTGATTAAGGGACTCTGCTATCACAGTTTCATTAGCAAAACAAAGATAACCCATTCCCAGATGGGATGATAGCCACATATAATGAGGTTAGGATTTACAACACTTTCTGAGGGGAATGTAGTTTAATCCATAACAGTTCTGTGCACATAAATCTACCACAAATCACTGGGTGTTTTTGTTTTTTATTTTGCTTTGTTTTGTTTTTTTAGTGATCAGGAGATATTTGGAAGAAGTCACAGCTTTACAACATATAGGACATCAAAAAGACATAGAGATAAGATATGAGGTAATACTGATTTGGGGTGTAGTACTAAATTATAATACCAGTTGTTTCCTTCTGTTGTCTATCTTTTTCGATTTGTTAGTTGATGGACAATGGCAAGAATGGAGTTCCTGGAGCCAGTGCTCAGTGACATGCTCAAATGGGACCCAGCAAAGGAGCAGGCAGTGCACTGCCGCTGCTCACGGAGGATCTGAATGCAGAGGGCCATGGGCAGAAAGTCGAGAATGTTATAATCCAGAATGTACAGGTAAGGCCTGATCATTGTATATGAAGTGTGCCTGCCATTTATAAAACACAAGAAAACCAGGCCAGGGTGAAATGGAATAATTGGATAATGCCTATTTATTTATAGTAAATGAAACCAATTATACTAGAACTTATTATACTGTGATTCACATTAATAAAATAACAGAACTCTTAAATAAAAGATTTTGTAATTAAATAAGAGTTTGATAATATCAAATACTCATAAAGTGATGAAATTTAGCAATGAACTTTAACCCTATTTTATTAGTAAAATCTAATGTCTTTTAGAAGTAGTTGACATATTCTGTTAGTCATAAAATTTTGTATCAGAATAGTAAGTCTAATGTTTATCCTGTTCATTACCTTTTGAGTTTGCTGTGACTCATAGAATCACCAGGCACAATAGAAGGAGATATTTCCCAGTCTTAAACCTTTTATGCCAAGTCTCACATCACTGAAGTATATTACTGGCAGGGATCAGTCCCTGGAGAAAGGTATTCTTGGTAAACTAGTGATCAGCCAAAAAGATGAAGACTATCAACAAGGTAAATTGACACAGTGACTGAAACAATGGGCTTGAGTATTAAACCCATTGAAGAATAATTAAAAATGATATTGCAGAAAAGGAAGTAGGGATGAGACATAGTTTACTATTAGCTTGGGGTATAATAGTAAAGCTAATACTATTGTATCCACATATAGTCCACTGATTTAAAATTATCAAGGTTACTTTTGCTTTATACTTATATACAAAACGGTGAAGATGGGGCAATATCAGGCTGTTTTCACTACAAGCTCAAAAGTATTTAACTACAATATAGCCTCTTGATGATCATTGGTGTACCTGAGTTCATTGTTATGGTTACATTGTAGTCTAAGAGAGCTTTGGTGGCATAGGCTGTAGGGAGCTGCACTGCTAACTCAAAGACAGTACGTCTCTGGAGATTTGACTCCACCAGTGACTCTGAGAAAGAGATGAGAGATATCATCTAGTGCCTGAGCAACCCAATAAAGAGTCGGCTATACTCATACTCATTTCCAGCTATTCATATACTAATTTCCAACTTGGTGACTATGCTATTTAATGTTTGGTACCATTGTGTTTTAATCAACTCAGTTGACCTTCTAGCAGGTTCTTAGAGGCATTTAATTACACAGGAGGAGATTGTCCATCTTTCTCCTGTGGAACAGCTGGTGGATTCAAATCATGTGCCTGTGGCTTGACAGCACAGCTTCTTAGCCCTAGGCCACCAGAACTCCCTTAATGGCAATGCATGATTCTGTATTTTGAATGCCTCCTTAAAGGTTTCATTCTCCTGAATTAGTTTGAATAATATTCTGTCGTGTACCATGGTGTTTTCACTGGCTAGTTGTTAGAAGTAGATTTTCTTGCTAGTCTGTCTTAGTCTGGCAGTTCTGTTAAGCCCTATTCACCGTGATGACCTGGCTGGTAGTTGGAGAACTAATGGCATAGCTTCCAACATCACAGCAATCTGCAAGACGCAGTAAAACAAACTGACAGGTGCACATTAGGAAATTGATAGTTTATGGTAATAGCTTAATAAAAATGTTAAAGATAGTATTGTATTGTCCTCAAAAGTTAAATTTCCTAAAGTGGTGCATGATAGACTTCTTTTCTTGACTCTGACACATTTCTTTCAGCTAATGGCCAGTGGAATCAGTGGGGTCACTGGAGTGGATGTTCCAAGTCCTGTGATGGGGGCTGGGAGAGGCGAATAAGGACTTGCCAGGGTGTGGCCATCACAGGGCAGCAGTGTGAAGGAACAGGTGAAGAAGTGAGAAGATGCAGTGAGCAGCGATGCCCTGGTGAGATCCAAGTTCAATTTTCTCTATGCAGATATTAATATTAAATATTATCAAGTACTTTTGCAATTGAAAGATAGCTTATGATAAGGAACATGTGTCTATGATGTCAGTTTGTTGGGTTTATTTCTATTTGTCATCGGATATTTCTGCTGTAAGTTTTAAAACTGCTGGCTGAACAGTGTCATCGAAAGCTTCAATGTCACAAAGATAGCTGTATCAAACAAAAGGAAAAGAAGCTTAGTATAAAGTTGTGAGGGGTACTGTTTTTCCTCACTATTATCAGTGAATTTTCTAGTTATTGAGAACACAACACAGATTAGTGTAGATGATATATACTGCAAACATCAATACATGAGTACTAAGTCAGAGTTCAATGAGAAAAATTATGCTGAAATTCAGAATTTTTGAGGTACTGATCCAAATTAAACTCACTTTGATTATCATTTTGAGGTCTAGTAGCTTAGTGATAAGGAATTGCACTGTAAACCCAAAGGTTTGGGGTTTGAAACCACCCACTGCTCCATGAGAGAGGAATGGACAAACCATGCAATTTAAACCAGTCTGAGGGTCAACTATAAGTTCCTTCTCACTCGACGGGACATAACAACAAAGTATGACTTTGACTGTCTCCAGCACTTATTCTTGGCCCATTTTCTGCATGAAAGGGGAATTCCTGTGAAGAATATATTTTAAAATTAAAATAGAAGGTCTTTCTTGATAAAAATAGAGTAAAAATGCTGATATATTGAAGAACTTTTCATATAAACTTTGAAAAGTATTGAGTCAGGAAATACCTAGATTATATACCATATAATCCATTTTCAACAAAATATCTTCTAAGCCTTGTCTATCACCACCAGCTACCTTTGAGTTGGCTGACTCATGTAAGCCTCATACACTGCCATCTGAGAACTGTGGACTAAGGGGTTCCAGGAGCTGATTTTTCAAAAAGGATTACTGAGCTTTATTTTGAGACGCTTCTCTGTGGACTCCAACTCCTAACACCTATATTCTGTACATTCTCTGAAATACTCACTGGACTTCCTTGTAAGCGTATGGACATAATCCTGCGACTCACAATGTTGTACTTCAAGATGGATCTAGAAATTACTTTTTTTTACTATGAAGGCAACCCCATTTTTTTCTCACCTTTCCATCTTCGGAGTAATATATCATATGATCATCTGGCTCAAAATGCCCCATGCCAGTCCATCTCATCTCTCCAATGCCTAGTATGTCAATATATATGCGTTCCATTTCTCTCTTAATAATATCTAATTTTCCTACATTCATGGTTCTTACATTCCATGTTCCAATCACTAGTATCTGCTTAAAACTGTTCCTCTTCCTTTGTATTTGCATACTTGAGAGTTCAACTTAGGTTGCCCTATCTGTTAGTCTACGTGTGTTCTGTTGTACATCAGGTGTTCAGATGCCTGCTATTTCAGAAATGGATAGCCAATCCTTCTTCTTAGTCTGTCTTAATCTGAGTGTTCAGATTTAGAGGAGTATCTGACAGACAAGGAATTTATGGAGCACCAACAATCAGAGCCAAAGAAGAAGAAATAGATGATTTCTACCAACTTTTACAGTTGGAGATCTATCGAACATGCAATCAAGATGAATTGATAATAATGGGTGACTGGAACACAGAAGTTGAGAACAGATAAGAAGAATCAGCAGTTGGAAAATATGTACTTGGTGACAGAAATGAAGCTGCAGATAGAATGATTGAATTTTGTACAATCAATGACTTATTCATTGCAAATACGTTTTATAAGAAACATAAATGCAGGTTATACACATGGATTTCATCTGATCGTAAGCATAGGAATCAGATCGATTAAATCTGTGGAAAAAACCTCTGCAGAAGCTCAATATCAGCTGTGAAAACTAGGCCAGGAGCTGATTGTAGAACAGATCACCAACTACTCATATGCAAGTTCAAGCTTAAGCTGAGGAAAATTAAACTGAATCCACAGGAGCCAAAATATGACTTTGAGTTCATCCCACTTGAATTTCAGAATCATCTCAGGAACAGGTTTGAGGCCTTGAACACTAATGAGCGAAGACCAGATGAAATGTGGGAGGATGTCAAATGTATCATCCAGGAAGAGTGCAAACAGTCATTACAAAGACAGAAGAGGAAGGAAAGACCAAAATGGATGTCAGAAGAAACTGAAGATTGCACTGGAACGTAGAGAAGACAATGCACAAGGAAGACTTGAAGATACTAAAGAGCTGAACAGAAGATTTCAAAAGGCAGCATGTGAGACAAAGCAAAATATTGCAATGAAATATGCAAGGAGCTAGAGTCAGAAAATCAAAATGGTCGAAATCGTTCAGCATTTCTTAAGCTCAAGGAATTGACGAACAAATTCAAACCTCGAGTTGCTGTAATCGAAGATGCTTTAGGCAGAATATTAAATGATCCGAGAAGTATTAAAAGAAGATGGAAGGAATATCATTGTATCAAAAGGAATTGGCACATACAGAAGAATTTAATGAAATAACATTTGAACGAGAACCTATGGTGATGAAGGAAGAAGTTCAAGCTGCTTTGAAGGAAATGGCAAAAAATAAGGCCCCAGGAAGAGATGGTATACAAATTGATGTATTTCAGCTAACAGATGCTGCCCTGGATGTGCTCACCAAGTTGTGCCAAGAAATCTGGAGAATAACCACTTGGCCAACTGACAGGAAGAGATCTATATTTTTTCCCATTCCAAAGAAGGGTGACCCAACAGAGTGAGGAAACTACAGAACAATATCATAGATTTCACATGCAAGCAAGATTCTACTGAAGATTATCCAAAAACTACTGTAACAGCACATCAGCAGAGAACTGCGAGAAGTCCAGGCTGGGTTTAGAAGGGGTCGTGGTACTAGGGACATTGTAGCTGATGTTAGATGGATCTTAGCTGAAAGCAGGGAATACCAGAAGAATGTTTATCTGTGTTTCATTGATTATGCAAAGGCGTTTGACTGCATGGATCATAACAAGCTGTGGCTGACTCTGAGAAGAAAGGGCATCCCAGAACATTTAATCATGCTAATGCGAAACCTATACTTGGACCAAGAGGCAGTCGTCAGAACAGAGCAGGGAAACACTGCATGGTTCAAAATTGGGAAGGGTGTATGCCAGGGATGTGTCCTATCTCCATACCTTTTCAACCTGCATGCAGAACTGATTTTCTGAGAGGCTGGGCTCTACGAGGAGAAGTGTGGCATCAGGATTGGTATAAGATCTATTAACAATCTGTGTTATGCAGATGACGTAACCCTGCCTGCTGAAACTGAGGAGGACCTCATGAGCTTGCTGCAGGGGGTCAAGGACTGTAGCCTTCACTATGGACTGAGGCTCAATGTCAAGAAGACAAAGATTCTCACCACTGGACCAATTGGCAGCATCAGGATGGATGGCAAAGAGATTGAGATTGTTCACAGCTTCAGTTTCTCGGCTCCACAGTCAACACACTTGGCACAAGCAGCCAGGAAATAAAAAAATGTATTGCGATGTGAAAATCTTCTGTTAGGGACCTCTCTAAAGTACTCAAGAGCAATGGTGTGTCTCTGGAGACTAAGGTGTGTCTCATACAGGCTATGGTCTTTGCTATCACTTGTTGTGCATCAAAGAGTTGGACAATGACCAGGGAGGATAGAAGGAGAATTGATGCCTTTTAACTGTGGTGCTGGTGAATTGAATGTACCATGGACTGCCAAAAAAACAGATTCATCTTGGAGAGGGTTAAACCAGGCGACTCCTTGGAGGCAAGGATTCTGGGGCTGTGTCTGACATACTGTGGACATGTTGTAAGGAGGGACAGGTCCTTGGAGAGGGACATCATGCTTGGGAGGGTGGAGGGACAGCGCAAGAGGGGAAGACCCTCTATGAAGTGGATTGATTCAGTGACTTGGGTAATCGGGATGAGTGTGTCAGAAGCAGTGTGATTGGCACAGGATAGAGCACGGTTTAGGGCTGTTGTACATAGGGTCGCTATGAGTCTCAAGTGACTCGACGGCACATAACAACAACAACAAATCTGAAATATGAACACATTAGTTCAAACTCAGAGCCACTGAGTCAATTCTAGCTCATCGAAACCATCTACCTGGTTCCTAAGACGGTAGATCTTAATGGAAAGATGTTGCTTGTCTTTCTCTTCAGGGGCTGCTGGTAGATTCAAACCATGGTGACAAGCAGCCTTTTGGCTAGCAGTACAATCTGCTAAGTACTTATGCCAACAGGATGCTATTAGCATGTTGTTGTTGTTGTTGTTGCTGTTGTTAAGTACCTGTTAAGTGCCCTAGAGTCCTAGATGATAATCGAGGTTTTAAGATTATAGGTTATGCAAAACTGGCATAAATATCATTGCTTTTGGCATGTGCCATAGATTTGGAACTGACCTTCCAGTTGGAACAGTTGATAGATTCGAACTACTTGCCTTAAGGTTGGCAGTACAACTCCTTCCCTACCAGGCCACAAGACCTCCAAATCTATTAGAAGAGGTGAAGTTTTAAAACTGCAAAGCTTTAAGAAGGAAATGTTGAATTTAGAGACTCTAAAGATCAAAATAGAACTGTGTCTCTGCTGTGAATTCTTTGTGAACAAGTATTAGCAAATCTGTTTGACTGATCATGGACTCCATTAGCATGTCTGAGACTCCTTTTCAATTCAGTGATTTTTAACTTTGTATCTATTATGTAACTACTTCAATTTCGAAAACCAGCAAACCAACAAACAAAAAATCTTAAATAAGTCATCCCGGCACCAAAACTTTCCATTTCTCCACAGTTAGAATTCAAAGATTTTTCCCCCATACGTTAACTTTTAAATACAAATAGAAATGTAAGTTTATGAGTAAGACTGCACCAGTGGCTGGTTTGCTTTAAGAGCTTGGGAAATACCTGAAACTAGTTTTTAGTTTAAATTGCTAAAACCATATGAATTCAGCATGATAATAAGAAGTCAGCATGCAGGATTTTGTTGAATAGGATAC